AGCATCCATATATTAATTTACAGAAGGATTAAATATGATTGAGATGTTTAGTTCTGGAGAGACATTATCGTTTACCAAGATTAATTAACAATTTAGAACCCATAATGACTGAGCATACATGTACTTTGAATCTCTGCAAACTTGTCTTACAAACCAGTTCTAGATCTAATCTCTGAACAAGACTTGATTCTCTTCAATGATGCACACCTAAAACAAGTTGGTTAATCACTATTACTTTTACTGTACTAAGTGTTCACTAAAAAAAGATTAAACATTGAACATTATGTGTGACTGCAAAATTCATTAATGTGTAAACGCATTTAAATGTAAATGAATTTCATGAAAACAAAGCAACATTTTTAAATACAATATAATGCAATGTACAACATTATTGTCCTATTTCTATGCTTCCCTTGCCCATAGAAATTAATAAAGAATACAAACTACATGAAATTCTAATACATCCAATAATCCTAGATCTACGATAAAAACTAACAAGAGGCCCATGGGCCACATCGCTCACCTGAGCAATGTGGCTTAGAAAAAGTAGAAAATTGGTTTATTATTGAATAGTTGAAATCCAAAAGTAGCCCCATGACCAATCATGGTTTTGCTATTCTTGATAAGATGATTTTTAAAGAATTTTCATATATATGTCTATGTAAAACTTTGGTCGGCCATTGTGGCCCCACCCTACCCCTGGGGGTCATGATTTGAACAAAGCTGAATCTACACTACCTGAGGATGCTTCCATATAAATATGATCAATTATGGCTTTGTCATTCTTGAGAAGAAGATTTTTAAAGAATTTTCCATAAAAATTTCTATGTAAAACTTTGGTCGGCCATTGTGGCCATGCCCTACCCCCGGGGGTCATGATTTGAACAAACTTAAATCTACACTACCTGAAGATGCTTCCATATAAATATGATCAATTCTGGCTTTGTTATTCTTGAGAAGAAGATTTTTAAAGAATGTTCCTATATATTTCTATGTAAAACTTTGGTTGGCCATTGTGACCCCGCCCTACCCCCAGGGGTCATGATTTGAACAAATTTGAATCTACACTACCTGAGGATGTTTCCCCATAGGTTTCATCTTTCTTGGCACAGTGGTTCTTGAGAAGAAGATTTTTGAAACATAATACCAAATTTTCATTAATTCCCAATTATCTCCCCTTGAATGAGGGCGTGGCCCTTCATTTGAACAAACTTAAATCCCCTACACCCAAGGATGCTTTGTGGCAAGTTTGGTTGAAATTGGCCCAGCGGTTCTTGAGAAGAAGTCCAAAATGTGAAAAGTTTACAACAACGATGACAACGACAACGGACAACGGACAAATTGTGATCAGAAAAGCTCATTTGAGCCTTTGGCTCAGGTGAGCTAAAAGTTGACCATAATTAATGAAACTCCCTAACCCAATTAACCCCCCCCCCCAAAAAAAAATCATTGAGACTAATATAAATTACATGAAACTACATGAAATTCTAATACACACAATAACCCTAGATATCTGATAGAAATTATAATGTATACAATATAGTAAATGAAATTCCCTAGCCCCATTAATCCCATATAAATGATAGAATTTATAAAGAATACAAAACAACATGAAATTATAGTATACCTAATAACACAAGATATATGATAGAAATCACAATTTTTAAAAATTACACTAAATTAAATTCCCTAACCCCATTAAACCCATCCCCTCCCCCAAAATTCAAAGAAACTACTCCTATAAAGAATACATAAATTATCTTCATAAAATTCTGAAAATATCCCCCAAATTTAACCCCAAGCACATCATAGAAAATAGAATATTTTACAATGCCATCAAAATTCCCATAAAACAATAACCCATGATATAACAAAGAAAGTATAAAGTACACAAACAACTACATGAAATTTCTATGACCCCAGTAACCCCTAATACATGAATATCATAGAAATTATAAAATATACAAAACTACATGAAATTTCTATAACCCCAGTAACCCCTAATACATGAATATCATAGAAATTATAAAATATACAAAACTACATGAAATTTCTATAACCCCAGTAACCCCTCATACATGAATATCATAGAAATTATAAAATATACAAAACTATACATGAAATTTCTATGACCCCAGTTACCCCTAATACATGAATATCATAGAAATTATAAAATATACAAAACAACATGAAATTTCTATAGCCTATGTAAGTAACCCCTAATACATGAATATCATAGAAATTATAAAATATACAAAACTACATGAAATTTCTATAACCCCAGTGACCCCTAAGACATAAATATCATAGAAATTATAAAATATACAAAACTATATGAAATTTCTATGACCCCAATAACCCCTTATACATGAATATCATAGAAATTATAAATCATACAACATGAAATTCCTATAACCTCAATAAACCCTAATTCATGAATATCAAAGAAATTATAAATTATACAATACAACATGAAATTACTATACACCTATAACAGATATATAACAGAAAATGTCAAGTCTATAGTTATACATTGTACATTTAAATTGTCAGTTATCCACGAAGTTCAATCACAGACTTTTCTGGTGATTTGCTCAGCTCCAGTCTCTATGGAAATTCTTGGAAAAACACAGAATTATAGTGAAAATATCTCTTAGTCTATTTGGAAATGTTTGGAGTAAGACGGAGAAAATATCTCCCAATCTGCACCAGTCTGTATGGAAATGTTTGGAGGAAGACAGAGAAAATATCTCCCAATCTGCACCAGTCTGTATGGAAATGTTTGGAGGAAGACAGAGAAAATATCTCCCAATCTGCACCAGTCTGTATAGAAATGTTTGGAGGAAGACAGAGAAAATATCTCCCAATCTGCACCAGTCTGTATGGAAATGTTTGGAGGAAGACAGAGAAAATATCTCCCAATCTGCACCAGTCTATTTGGAAATGTTTGGAGGAAGACAGAGAAAATATCTCCCAATCTGCACCAGTCTATTTGGAAATGTTTGGAGGAAGACAGAGAAAATATCTCCCAATCTGCACCAGTCTGTATGGAAATGTTTGGAGGAAGACAGAGAAAATATCTCCCAATCTGCACCAGTCTGTATAGAAATGTTTGGAGGAAGACAGAGAAAATATCTCCCAATCTGCACCAGTCTGTATAGAAATGTTTGGAGGAAGACAGAGAAAATATCTCCCAATCTGCACCAGTCTGTATGGAAATGTTGAGAAGAACACTGATAAGGAACATATCTCTGGACTCTATCTCCACAGCTCCTGTTTGAGTTATACCAGGCAGAGCTCCCACTGACTGACACTATAGAAATACAATAATACCGGTACATTTATTCTAACTTAAAGATATTTATTTTAAAGTACAAGCATTTTGTGTATTTATTATGATAACTGTAATAACAAGATGTGTTTGTGAATCACTGATACCCTGTATAACAGCTTATGGCGAGGGTTGAATTCTCTTAAATACAGGTCAAGGTCAAAAGTGTTGGTACCCAAAGGATGGTCTTATTACAAGGAATATACCTGTGATTTATGAAAGCCCTTGATAGTTCTAACTGTTCAAAAGTTATGACCAAAATTCAAGTTTTTAAAAAGTGGGTCAAACTCTTAGGTCAAGGTCAAAAGGCCAAAACAATTTATCTTGTCACAATATATAAACATGTGAAGTATGAAAGCCCTAGCTAGATCTAACTGTTCAAAAATGATCGCCAAAGTTAAAGTGTGGTATTTTATTCATTTGATGGAACCCAAAGAAAGGTCTTGTCTCAAGGAATACACCTGTGAAATATGAAAGCTATAGCCTCACCCACTAAATAGTTATGGGCTAGGTTAAAGTTGACAACAGACAGACAGATTAACAGACAGACAGGACAAAAACAATATACCCCAGGATCTTTTGATCATGGGGCATAAAAACTCAATATTGTCGAAAGTAAAAATTCTTAGCTTAGTGAATAAAAACAAGAGGCCCAGGGGCCACATCGCTCACCTGAGCAATTGGCTAGGAAAAGCACATATCAGAAGCACATATCAGATCAGAACTGAAAGTTTACGGGGGGGGGGGGGGGCTTGAATTTTAACCCCCCAAGGGGTCATGATTTGAATAAACTAGAATCTACACTACCTGAGGATGATTCCCTATAAACATCACGAAGCATGGCTTTGAAGTACTTGAAAAGAAGATTTTAAAAGGTTTCCCTATATATTCCTAAGTAAAATTTTAATCGGCCATTTGGCCCCACCCTACCCCCGGGGTCATGATTTGAACAAACTTGAATCTACACTACCTGGGGATGATTTCAAAGGGGTTTCATCTTTCCTGTCTCAATGGTTCTTGAGAAGAAGATTTTTCCTATAAATTCCTATGTAAAACTTTGATCGGCCATTTTGGCCCCACCCTACCCCCGGGGGTCATGATTTGAATAAACTTGAATCTTAACTACCTGAGGATGATTCCACATGAGTTTCATCCTTCCTGGCCCAGTGGTGCTTGAGAAGAAGATTTTTAAAGATTTTTCCTATATATTCCTATGTAAAACTTTGATTGGCCGCTTTGGCCCCACCCTACCCCAGGGGGTCATAATTTGAACAAACTTGAATCTACACTACCTGAGGATGATTCCATATGAGTTTCATCTTTCCTGGCCCAGTGGTTCTTGAGAAGAAGATTTTTAAAGATTTTTCCTATATATTCCTAGGTAAAACTTTGATGGGCCATTTTAGCCCCACCCTACCCCCGGGGGTCATGATTTGAACAAACTTGAATCTACACTACCTGAGTATGATTCCACATGAGTTTCATCTTTACTGGCCCAGTGGTTCTTGAGAAGAAGATTTTTTAAAAATGCCATTAATTTTTCTCTAATTCATAATTATCTCCCCTTGGAAAAGGGCATGGCCCTTCATATGAACAAACTTGAATCCCCTTTACCCAAGGATACTTTTTAACAAGTTTGGTTGAAATTGGCCCAGTGTTTCTTGAGAAGAAGATGAAAATGTGAAAAGTTTACGACCTCAACAACGACGACTATGACGACAACGACGACAGACAACAGACAAATTTTGATCAGAAAAGCTCATTTGAGCCTTCGGCTCAGGTGAGCTAAAAACACAAAAGAGCAAGAGACATCTTATGCATAAAATGGCCCCGTACTTATATCAAATAATTAACTATCACCCTCTTTCCCATATATCAAAATAAAGTAGAAAGTTGGTGCTTTCATTTTCTATAATAAAATTTCGTTTTGAGAATCCAAATATTGGAAAACAGGTTTGAGAAATTGCAATGTTCTTGAAATTTGCAGAAAACTACCTTCAGCAAAGAAATAAAATATGAGCACAGCCCACGATCCAAAATATAAAACATGTTTTTTGATCTTCAGAAAAAGAGCTTTCATTATGTTTTTGCATATTTTGGATCAGAGGTTGTGCTCTGTATGAAATATTGAAAAAATGCTTCAACTTTAGGCCATTTTCAAAGGAATTTACAGGATATGAGGAAAATGGTGCATTTTATGACGTCATAATGCATTAATTGACAAGATGGGAAATTGTATCACCATTAATAGATACGTGGTCACCAACATTCCAAGTTATAAATACTGCATTTGCAACCTAAACTGAATGGTTTTGATTTTTTCAGAAATTCTGAGGGCCAAATAAGGTCCAAAGTGGCTCTAGCTCTTTTATTTTTTTACTGTGATATTTATCATACATGTACAAGTTTTAAGGTAATGTTAATCCATTATAAAAACAACCTTTTTTGCCAAAATAAAGGTGTTAATTTTATAAGCAACTCACTAAGTCTGGTAGTTTAAAGGTCAAACATAATTCTTCCGCTTAGGAATGGCCCCAAATTTTTGGTTCTATAAATATTGACATGTCAACGGACCACTTTCACTAAAAGTCTGAAATAATAATTAAACAAATATGTTTTTTAAAGAATTAAACATTAAAATATATTCTCATCAATTAATATTCATGAATATGCATTTACTTACTTACTTAGGCCTGTCGTTCCGTGAGGAACATAGGCCATCAACAACAGTCCTCCAACGAACACGATTTTGGGCTGCTCTGGCTGCATCGTGCCAGGTCATATTCTGTGTCCTTAGCTCCGACTCCGAGTCACGCCTCCAGGTGTTTCTAGGTCGTCCTCGTTTTCTTTTGCCTTGTGGGTTCCAAGTCAGGGCCTGGCGTGTGATGCTGGATGGTGACTTCCTTAATGTGTGTCCAATCCAGCGCCACTTCCTCTGTCTTATTTGTACTTCCATTGGTTCCTGTCCTGCTCTCATCCATAGTTCTTCATTTGAGATCCTATCAGGCCATCGGATGTTGAAGATGCGCCTGAGACAGGTGTTGTAAAATGTCTGGATCTTCTGCATGGTAGCTTTAGTCATCCTCCACGTCTCTGCACCATACAGTAGGACGGACTTTACATTGGAGTTGAGGATCCGCAGTTTGGTGGTAGTACGTATGCTCTTTGAGGCCCAGATGTTCTTTAAAATGGTGAATGCAGTCCTAGCCTTGCCAATTCTTGACTTGATGTCGCAGTCTGTGCCACCGTGTCTGTCCACCACACTCCCCAGGTAGATGAAGGATTCAACTTCTTTGATGGCCTCACCACCAACTGTGACTGGTGTTTGGACAGTGGTGTTTATCTTCATCAATTCTGTCTTCCTCAAGTTAATTTTGAGGCCCGTTCTTGCCGATGTTGTTGCAAGGTGGGTTGTTTTATCTTGCATCTGATTTTGGTTGTGTGAAAGGAGAGCCAGGTCATCTGCAAAATCAAGGTCGTCCAGTTGCGTCAGGAGTGTCCACTGTATGCCATTGTTCCTGCCTGCTGTGGTTGTCCGCATGATCCAATCGATGACCAAGAGAAAAAGAAATGGTGACAGCAAGCAACCTTGTCGGACTCCTGTCTTGACCTCGAAACTCTCAGACATCTGGCCAGCATGGGTAACTCTGCATATCATGCCTTGGTAGGTGTTTCTAATCAGGGAGACTAGCTTCTCTGGTACTCCATAGTGCCTCAGTATCTTCCACAATGTCTCTCGGTCTACGCTGTCAAATGCTTTTTCGTAGTCGATGAAGTTGACATATAGGGGGGACTTCCACTCCAGTGATTGTTCTATAATGATGCGTAGACTGGCTATCTGGTCAGCACATGATCTGTTGGCTCTAAAACCAGCCTGTTAGTCACGGAGCTTTGGGTCCACTGCCTCTTTCATTCTCTCGAGAAGTATTCTGTTGAGGACCTTGCCAGGCAGGCACTGATAGGAGCATGATCCCCCTGTAATTACTGCAATCTCTCAAGTCTCCCTTCTTTGGCAGCTGAATATGCATTTGGTGTCAGTAAATGAGATGTGAAACTGGAATGTTGATATTTACCATAATGATGAAGGACAGTTGACCCAGGCAGGTATGCAAATTAATATTAATTTGTCGTTTTCTCAGCAAGTTGATTCTATCAGTCTTTGCCACATCCCTGAAGAAAGTCAAATCAGAAGTGAGAGTAACATCATACAATTATATGGACTCTTTTGGTGTTGGATATGGTTTTAGGTCTCACAAGGAAATAATTTCACTATATATTACTATATAGCTTGAATTAAATTATTTAATTAATTAGACTCTTAGCAGAAAATTCATGAAAGAGAAAATAAAGATTAATACTTAATAAACAAAAATTTGAGATCAGAATTAATATGCCTTATGCGGCTTTTAAGAAAGAAAATTGACAGTAAACTTACCTACCCCGAAATGCATGTGGGATTCACATGTTGACAAACAGCCCACACACCATCCAGGAAGTTGCATCATGCGTACCTGAAAAAAGAGTTCCTTTTAATTCAGTGGGATAATTCTGCTAAAGATATGACTTTTTTTGTACATGAGTCCAAATTTAATACTGTATAGGCCTAAAACAAAATTTTACGCCAAAAAATGAAAAAAGTAATAAAAAAATTGTCTTTTTATATGTATGGAACTTTAATCGACTAAGTTCATTTTGATTGGCTATTTCCTTGCGTAAGACCTTTAAGACAATTGATAGTTAATGAAATAAAATGAAAATTGCAGAAAATGTCAATTATTTATTTATCTTTCATATGCTAGTGCCAAAATATTCATTCTTGTCCTTAAGGGATGAAAAATAGGAGATAACTCTTCCTAACAGTTTATTGAATTTTAATTAGGCTAAATTTCTGTACAAATTCATCTATAGTATATTGATTTCAAAACTTTAAAAAAAAATTAATGAGTGAATTATTGAGAAAAAAATTGAATGAAATGAAAGCTGAAATATTGGAGTTTTTGGCTATCTACTAAAAATAATTTTCAACTCTAATTAATGAGCTCTAATTAGCTAAGAAACAGGAAGTGAACTGATTTTTAAGGAATTAATTAGCAAAAAGTGAAAATCTTAATTGTAAAACAAAGTCATGCAGAGACTGGAAAAAATGGTGTCAAAAGAGACTTCAATAATGTACCTTGGAGCTTTGGTAACAGTAATCACTGATTAATGGCTGGTGATTAAAGATAAGGATGGGGGATGATGAGGCTTTTCCATCAGTCATCAAAGAATGGAGTTTCTCTTAGAAGACCTGGCAGCTCTAAAATAAATAAACAATACAAAAGTTTACAATACTTAAAAATGTGCACCACATACAATAGATTTTCTTAGAAAAAGTCTACAAGTATACAGTTAAATAATTATGATGCAAAAAAAGGGCCAAAATGGTTGCATCAACATCAATACAAAAAAGGAAGAATTCCTCACAACAAACATGTGATATAGCTGTTTTCAAAAACACTAAAATTAGGTCATCGGTTATAAAACAGATCTGTAGAATTTTTGACATACATGTACGTGTTGTTTGCATAACTAATCAGGTTTTTCATATAAATAATTCCAAGGAACTATATTGTTTCATCTTTTCTCATGGTATATTGCACATATCCACGATATCTTATTTGATGAAACATAACATCGATGTCGTATCAGAAAAAGGGAAGTAACTCTTAGAAAAGTTACAAATTGCTTATATTACGAATTTTAGTAATATTACGATTTTTCGTATTGGACTGGACTGACAAAGGCCAGAAGAAAATAGGGACCACCAGCTCAGACCAACTTCTAGTTCCCATAAGAAGACTAAAACCCCAGTCACATTTCCAAAAACGACCAACGGCCGACGGGTTTTGGAGCAAAAATGGGATTCTTCGGGTGACAGTCGTCAGTTCATCGGCCGTTGTCTTGGCCGATTTTGAACTATTTTTTTGTCGGCCGACCAATTTTGTGTCCATCGGTCCAAGTTATAATTTTTCATGCGTCGGTGGCCGATTTCTTCAATTGCAGTTATCCGTCGACCAACCTTCGATCATCGTCCGACCATCGGTGGTCAGTTTATTAAGTCCCCTTAGCAAAATCAAATTGATTGAATTTTGATTTATTTTGTAGTTGTTTTCTGAGCATTGGATTTTCATTTTTTTTTGATTTGCAAACCCGTACGAAATTTAAGTCACGTATTTTTAAAAAAATCCAGGCGTATTTTAATCTAAAAATCCTTGTGGAAATCTCTATTGAAATGAATATATAAAACCAGGCGTATAATGTAAAATACAGGCGTACACGAGGCGTAATCCTCCCGTATTTTTGGCCGAAATATGCAAATGAGTACGCCTGGAAATTCAAAATACGTCTGGAAATTTTAAAAATAGAATTACGCCTAGATTTCAAGCAAACCCTTAAAAATACGCCTGCAAAATAAATACGCCCGTATAAAAGAATACGCCCGTACAAAAAAATACGCCTGTACAAAAAATACGCCTGCTTTAAATAGATTCGAATTAAATATTAATTATATTACAGCAATGGGAGCTACAACTATAGTATGAATATAAATGTACAATCAACTTTAGTACAAAGATTTTTGACTACATATGCTAAAAAAGATTAGACAAATTAAGCTAAGCATACTGTGATACATCACTTTTATTTTCTTGATATTTTTCAATGTGATAAAATGTGAATGAGATTCATTAGTAAAGGATTGTCATTAAAATTTAAAAAATCATAATCTTACATTTACTTTTTCAAAGCACAGTTACATGTTAGAATATATTAACCGTTTCACAGCATTTTAACATCCAAGGCTGAGTTTTATAGTAAACAGTTGAAACATTCCAATAATCACAGTGAATCACAGTTTTGAGAATCATGCCGAGTACTCCTGCCACTCTTTTTACTCCTAAATTGGCATAAAAGATGCAAATCACAAGCAATTCTGTCATTCACATTTCACATCACATTTCCCAATCACATTTTCATAGATTGAAATATTCACAAAAAGAAGTTTGAATGCTTTATAACTGGCATTGCAAACGGTCATCTTCTTCCTGATGCAATCTTCCAATGGCTACAGTTCACTGGCATTATTGAATTTATGGAAAGTTATGCTGCTGGTCAACTCTTAATATTGCAAGATCTTTTCTCCTCCTCTTATGACCATTTCATCATTCAATCAATTTTCCAACTGTAATAAGGATTTAGATGTAAATCATTTTCTGGAAAAAGAATAATTTATGTAATTCAAAATACTACTGACCCAATTTTCAATCATTAACATCTGGCTCTGCAAATCAAAAGCAAATGCAGCTGTCTTTTATTTTCATAGATAAAAAGTTTCAATGTTAAGCTATGTTTTCAAAATATTTACCTCTTCTACACCATCTGTGCTTTGTTGTGGCTTTCTCTAATCTCATTGTTCTTGGCATGACCTGCCTGGTGGTTTAAAATTGGCACAAATACTTGGATGCAGATGCTGTTATTTACAACCCCCTAGTTAGCTAAACTCTTTTATGATTTCTGGAATTCCTACTCAGTACAATTTGTAATTTTGAAGAAAAATGCTGTTTTGTTTACAGATAGAACATAAAAATAAAATTCCATCAATGTATAAACAAGTTGTATTCATTATATGAATTAAAAAGATACTAGGGTGGGAAATAGAACTGCTGTACACAAACCGGATATAAATTGATAAGCCGTTCTTAGGTTTACAACATCACAGATAAGTTGTTCCTAAACATGCTCAATACATCTGTAAGTAATTAGCACAATTCCAGCAGGTTAGGCTAGGGAAGTGAAAGTTGATGGTAATGTAACAGAGTATCTAAATATACCAAATATAAATCATTTTATAAGGAAAACATTTAATTGTAATAACATGTATATTTATAGCCTGACTAAACAATTAATCATGAAGTTCAAAGAATATACTATCTACTTTACAGTTATAGAAATCATTTGTGTTAAGAAAAATAATATCAATTTTAAAAAAAAAATGGGAATGACAAAATTTTAGGTCCATGGGATAATGTTCTTAAAAAAAAGTTCTAAAAGAAAAAATCAGTTTAATTTCTGAAAAATAATTGCTTTGATATTAATTAATACAACAAACTAAATGCTATATTGTAATGTATACAATACTTTGTTTTTTGTTTTTTGTTTAAGTTATATAATATAATAAAAATGTTTCTTATGCAACTCAATACTTTAAAAAAAGGAGAATGAGTTGACTGAGTTTTTTTTGGCTAAGTTGAAAAATCCACCCGAATTTTAAAAAAATACGCCTTTTGAAATTTTCTAAGTTTTAATTTCCTTGTGCCAAAGAGACGTAGAAAATACGCCCGGATTTAGAATTTACGCCTGGAAAAAAGGAGACGTATTTCTGGCAAAAATACGTGTACGCCTGAAAATGAACCATATTTTTAAGAATACGTCTCTTGTACGCCAGGATTTGCAAAACATCCAGGCGTAATTATAACGTCTCTGAATTTCGTACGGGTAGGAATCAACTGTGCCTCCTTGCTAAATTGTATGGGAAAAAAGCATTGAAATAGCATTGAACATTGCATTTTGATTTATTTTGTATTTACTTTTGATTGAATTTGGCTGGATTTTTGCGAAATATGTAAATGAGATGAAGGATTAATTTGACATCACAGAAAAATGCAAAATCAATACAAACAAATGAAATACAGTATGAAGCATTTATCTGATGTCACTTAGCATTATTGTGACATCACAGAAAAATGTTAAAGTAATACATATAAAACATTTATGTAATATTATAAAACTTGAGAAGTAATATAGAATAAATACATGGTAACAAACAATATCCAGCATAATAGCATTAAATATTGAGAAACAAACTTTTAAGAGAAAAAAATAATTAATACTCAATGCAAACATTATTACTAATAATCCATCACATGATTCTTTACCAAAATTTTGAATACTTATCTTAAAAATTCACCAGTACAGTTATAAATCCAAGTAAATGTTACTAACTTCCTATTAATTAAATGTTACACTTGAGTGTGTGTCAGACATGATTGAAACCCAAAAATCACTGACTGCAGACACAATAACAGTAATTCCATACATTAATCACATATCACAAAGGCACAATTTGAAGTACACTTCCTTGAATTCCATTTCTATGTTACTCAGCAAATAAGTTTCTCACTTTCTGGATTGTTATCAGTAGTTTTTTTGGAACTGCATTAATTGTATCTTTTTTTTCCATTTAACTAGACTGCTTTAAATTTATTGAACATTTTCGGTGGCACAGGATCTAACTGCAAATTTCTGCACTTGGAGCATATACATACTCTGAAAGAAAAAATAAACACATTCAAGATATTTATCATTTGATAAATAAATGAATCTTTTAAATAAAAAAGAAATGAGTGTCAAGACTGCGCATGGTGTTTCGAGGTTTGGTGCATAATTAGTAATTCTGTAGTGTAAACTAATTAGTTTATAGTTACACTATCTGCTCGATCAGCAGTGGACACCAGCAGTGTTGCTTAAACAAAGAGCATAGATTAACTTAATCTGATCAGATAGCATGTGATGGAAAGCCCCAGTCTTTGTATACATTAAGACTTCCTTGGAGAGTGAAATTTAATACTTGGCATATGTTCCCCCTCTCTGAAATTCCACAGAATGTGTAATGATGGGTAAAATAATGCTATAAACAGTGATTAAGAATAAATTTTGAGAAAAAAAAGAAATAACTTACTTCCTGAGAAAACAATGTATCCATTATTTGTATGGCATTATACTTCAACAGCACCATCTTTTCATCATCTCCAATATCACTTGTCTGCCACAAAACAACACTATCTGTCTTCTTCATCATTCTTAGATTCTACACAACTTTTTGCCATAATATGAATAGTTTTGTCCACAGGGAAGAACACAACAAAATGTTGATCATTTCCATCAAAGTACATTATGGCTTCTAGCTTCTAGCCAGCAGAATTTGAAATGGCTGATAAAGTGACGTAGAGTAATCACGTGATTTTTATCAGCCTCTCGCTAGACATGTTTACAGCTGGTCATCACTAATATAACCCACCAGCAATATACACAGCTGATAAAGCTACCATTTATTTTTGAATCAATGCTTCAGAAAATAAATACAAATTCAATCATGGATTTACCAAAGAGAACACTTGATGTGTAGATTGTTATTGGTATGACATCATATAAATTCAAAATAAATGCATAATAAATGCATTGAAACAACATTTATAGAATAAATCAAATTTCAATCATTTCAAAATCAATGGTTTGAAGATTTTTGAATTGGATTCAATCAAAAATAAATGCATAACCAATGTTCAATGTATTTTCAAGACAAATAAAATCAAAAATCAATGCAAATATAGCATTTGTTTTTGCTGAGGGTCGACGGTCGTCCGTCGTTGGACGATAAGGGTGTTGAAAATTTCGGATGACGGTTAAAATCAAACCGTAGCTCAGAGCTCGATGATCGGGCGACGATTGGCCGACTTGTGAATATTTAACCTATTAAGGATACATAACACAAACAAAATTTTGATGCATGGATTGATATAAATTTTTTGAACGGAAATAACATAAATAATTAATCCGTAAGGTACGCAGAAATCTTAAGTATTCTTTGCTGCTTTAGATATGCACCATTTGTCGTTTTTATGCAGTTCCATACCAATTTTGCACACATTTTCAACATTGAGTCACAATTTTATAAGATTCTGCCACTTTGCCTTGCACACATTACTCACGTTACCTATCTAAATATAGATCTATGAAAAAAATAATGCTGATTTCTAAAGAAAAAAAGATTCTTTGTGTTATTTATCCAAGTCATCGGTGTCCCTAGGAAATAATGTGACTGCTCCATGTCGCCTGATACTGTGTCGGCCGATCCTGTTCTTTCAGCTGACAAGACCAGAGAAATTTAGTCGCCCGACCATCGGTTTAAATGTGACCTAGGCATAAGTAAAGAGCAGTTTCAGGACATTGTACAGCCACAGAAAAATGGATTGTTTGCAGTTATAGATGCCGAGAGCCGAAGCAGCGAGATGAAGTTTTTACGACCCGGGCCAAGTGAGGTCCAGCCAGTGGACACCTACATGGAATCTGTGTCAGTTGACCCAAATTCAAAATTATACAAAGTACTTCACCAAGAAAAGACTGCTAAATTGTGGAACAATGCATTTATAGTACACTCACAGAAGTCTCCAGACTGTGATGGTCCACTGGACTGGAATCAGCATGGGGAGGAAAAACAAGGTCTGGCATTGATCCTTTCCATCCGATGTAAGAAGTGCCACTATACCAGTCACCGAGAAAAGCTTTACAAAGAGGTGAGAAGATCTGGTAGGGGATGGAGAGATGCGCAGTTGAATGTGGTCATGGCTGTCGGTCGCCTGGGTACCTGTCTTACAACAGAGCTAGGGTATGCGTGGTATGCTTCTTGGTGCAAATATTGAACCAGCGTCAGCCGCCAACATGCAACAGACCTGCAACAAAGTGAGAAAAATTATAACTGATGTAAATAAAAACAGTATGAAGAAAATTCGGCAGAATATTCAAGAACTTAAAGAAAAATGTGGACTTCCTGAGAACCCCTAAAAATATCATTCTATTGACAGAAATGGCCCTCTCTCTCTCCCTCTTTTTTTTTCTCTCTGAAAAAGGGGTCCCAACCCTTGGACCCCCCTTAGATCCGCAAATAACATGTAGGTTGTACACTTAGACTTTCAATTGTTACTAATTTTGATATATAGCCATAACTTAATAACGATAAAACAAAAATTTGGGATGTGGGGTTCATAAGTGCCTTTCAATGAACATGTTGGGGAAAAGAGCTATATATTGTTAAGAAAAAAA